GGTATGGCGCCAATTTTGGGGATTGGGGCCCGTACTTGCATGTAGATTAAGTCCCCAAAATTTCAGTCCCGCAGCTTTTGTAGGTCCTGAGATGAAAAACCGTGACAGACGCACACACGGACAAACAGACACACAGACAACCTCTCGTCAATATGCGTTTTTCGCATTGCATTGCTGCAAAAAACGCATAAAAATCACACAGACAACCTCTCGTCAATATGCGTTTTTCGCATTGCACTGCTGCAAAAAACGCATAAAAACGGAGGAAATATATAACAACAAAAAATCGAAACAGACAACCTCTCGTCAATATGCGTTTTTCGCATTGCATTGCTGCAAAAAACGCATAAAAACGGAAAGGTCTCCAAAAAAAAAAATTATGGTGCGGGAATCGAACAGGAAATCCAATAAAATAATAATCGGATGGATGTTACTTTCAAGCATTTAAGACGTCCCTGATTGAGCATGTTTGAGCTCTGGATTTTGCGCTGCAGCTCAACTTGCTTCTCCTTCTTATCGTAATATTCTAATATTTTGTTTCTTTGCTCGTGCACAAGACGACCCTGTAAAAAAAAAGAAAAAAAAAATCAAATTTTCAAAGAATTTTGCAAATTTAAAAGATTTTTTTCTATATGTATAATATTATGTAATGAATTTATTATGAGTTTTCTGCATTATGAATTTCTGCAAAAGGAAGACACAGAGGGAGAAAACAGTAATATTCGACAAAAGATTCTGTAGTGACAAAACCCTTTCCCCACTGAAGCTAAAAAAAACAACTTCGCTCGGCATATCGTCCCCGCCGCTCGCAGTACGCTCAAAAAATCTGATTTTCCGACAAAAAAAGTAAGCGACGTATTCGAAACTTACTCCGTGTGTTCTCATAACATTTTTATGCGTTTTTTGCAGCTATGCAATGCGGAAAACGCATACTGACGAGAGGCCGTCTGTGTGTGTGTGTCTGTATGTGCGCAGGGCCTCTGTACCGATTTTTCATCTCGAGACCTACAAAAACTTTGGGCTGAAACCTTGGGACCTAATCTACATGCACATACGGGCCCAATCCCCAAAACGGGCGGTCCTACCCGCGTAGTACTCACGTGAGAGCGCGACAAAATTTTTTTCGGGTAAGTTGATAACTCGGGGATCTGAGAAGTTAAAAAAGCTAAAATCTTAAGGAGATATCCCGAGTCCAAGTAGGTATTAATGAGCTCAAACCCAGCTCTCGGGTAAGCGTGGTAACCGCGTACGGGCCCACCAAAATTTTTTTCGGGTAAGTTGATAACTCGGGGATATGAAAAGCAAGAAAGCGGAAGTCTTAAGATGTTTCCTCTCAAAGTAGGTATTAGTGAGCTCAAACCCAGTCCCCTGGTAAGCGTGGTATTCAAGCACGGGCCCGTGAAAATTTTTTCGGCTAGGTTAATAACTCAGGGATCTGAAACGCTAGAAGGCTGAAATCTTAAGGGTATGTTTCCTGTCCATCTAACTCTCATTCAGCTCAAACCCAGCCCTCCGGTATGCGTGGTACCCATGCACGGGCTCACCAAAGTTCTTCTCGGGTAAGTTGCTAACTCGAGAACCTGAAAAGCTAGAGGCGACGCATATAAATCGAACAGGCGGCGGGTCCCAACTGCTGTTTTACTGCTCAAAATCGATGGGCCTGATGGCATAGCTGTGCCCGGTGTGCGGCAGCATGCTAGTAACATCACTAACATGAGATACCCATACTGAACAGTCTTTGGGTAAGAACAAGCTAGTTTGAGGCGCTAAAATTATTTTTCGTGAATTTTCACAGGAAAAAAGACTGCATACTTTTTCAATGTTGAATTCCTCCTCCGCTTTTGCATCAATCTCTTCCGCTTTTTCGATAGCTTCTTGTTCGATAAATGCGATCATGTGGCGCAGCTGCTTCTGCACATCGTTGTCCGAGAGACCCATCGTGCTGCGCCTCGTCCTCCTCACTCCTTATCTCAACGGCCTCAAATGTTCGTTTGCCGTTTACACTACAGGAAAACAAGAAACCACTGATACCCAATGCCCCCAGTGCACCGGCGATTTTTTCGATTTTTTTTTTACAACAAACCGCTGAAGAGTTGTTGACCAGTGGTCAGTGAACCCAATACAAACATACAGAAACAATTAGTCGGGAAAAGGTCTTCTGGCCTGTGCAGTCTGTGAAAAGCCTAATAATTTAAGTTCCGTGATCTTCTTTCAATTTTGTGAATTTTGAAAATTTAAAAAAAAAAAGGAAAATGAGAAAATCCCAGCTACCATAAGCGGGAAAACAGGAGGGGAGGGGGAGAGGGTCGTACATGCAGTTACCTTACTCTTTTTCTCCTTCGCTCTGTCCCCTCAAACGACTACAGCAACGCGTAAACCGTACAAGACATGCCAGAGGAGCAACAGCTGCAAGGTCGCCGAGTTAAAGTCAAAAAAAGGCTAAGGCTGAAGCCGTAATGAGGTCAGCGGGGATAATAAATGAGAACAACCTGGAAATTTACTTCAGCAGCTCTTCCGGAAACAAAAAAAATTC